ACAAACAAAAAACCTGAAAATCAGTAGAATTGCTCTTCCTTTGTATCACTTTTGCTTCCTTCCCAACCTTTAAGGAAACATGGATTTTGGAAGTCACATAAGGAAGCTATTCATCACTGAAATGCCATGGCATCACTTTTTAAAAAGCCTTCCATAGTAAGACAGAGATTTAAGATGGCAGAGTTAAGTCTTTGCTTAATCCAATTAGCATTTAAATATTTTAATCAATAAAAGATGACAATTGGACTGGGCTAGATGCCAGTTCCCTGAGAGCTGCGCCTTTCGTCACACATAGTCTCAGTCGCACTGATGTGTTACTGAACAGTAGTAAACATACGAGAACAGTAGATCTGGGAGCTGTATAAACTTAAATCTTTACCTTTTATGGCAGCAAAAGGAGTAACAGAAAATTAACAGCAAGGAATAACTTCCTGAAGACTGGACTGAAAATAATTTATTTAAGATGCCTGTGATGAGACACATCAGCCAGTAGAAAGTGGCAACTGAGAGTTCTATGTGTTTGCACGTGACCTGAAACAGTTAAAAAGACTGGTATCTAATCATCATAACCATGATGAGACAGAAAAAAAAAAATCTTAACATTTGTTTTCCCAATACCACTTGGCAGACGAGCATAGAGTAAGTGCACTTGCTGGAAGTGCTTATGCTTAATGAATCACTAACATTGCTAAGTTCAGTCTGCATCTTTCAGTGCAAAGAGAGAGACAGAAAGGAAGAAGTAGGTTCTAGAGGTTTTCTCCTAGAAAGCCAATCTGGAAATGTCTGCTTAACTACGTTGGTATTTGTCCATCAATTCAGTGGTACCTGAAAAATCTACTTCCTATTTATCGCAAATGAATGGCAGCAAGGAAAAAAAATTAAGTGTCAGAAGTGTCTTCATGAACCATGTAGGAAAGTAATCTTTACCAGCAATACCCACATGGAGAATACTCCACTCAGCTCTTCCTTCAGTTTCTTGGCAAGATTTCAAACAAATTTTTCCAGGTCCCATCAACACATCTGTTCCTGTTGTCCTAAAGTGGGTGACAGAAGTGCTCATTGTCAACAGAGAACTCGCGTTTTCTGCAGGCGTTAGCCAGACATGATGAACACGTGTATACCTCGTGCAAGTTCTGCAAAGTGAACCATGGCCCCCACCCCTCAAAGTTGAGGAAAAATCAGTTTCTGATGAATTTCAGATGATAACTTCTTCCATAAAAGCACAAGTCTGTGAGGAAGACAAGCAGTCCAAAACTTCATACGAGGCACATTTATAATCCTCGCTAAAAGAAACATTTGGCTCTGTTATTTGTAAGGGCTGTCATCGTGCCTTATCAGATTGCCCAACCAGTTCTGCTGATTGGGAAAGCAAAAATATTTTTGCTTAATAGCAAACCCCAGCTGTGATGCGGCAGTATGTTCATTCTCTCATGATATTCAGGTTGAGTCTTTCCATCACCAGTATTCCATTTTGCACCCTGCCACATTTTGTTTCTAAACCAGTGATCTGGTAAGATCTGGTAAGAGATACCTGCACGATCCCATGCTGAACCAGTGCTCACTGAGCAGACAGTTCTATTAAGCAACCTCTAAGTCAGTGACTGGGCAGAAACATCCAAAGTAAATGACAGAAAGGTGCCCATCTTTAGGCCATATATACTTACAGGAGATCAGGAAGCCCAGTTTCAATCCAGGGAAAACAATGACTTGTCTGAGGGATTTTTTAAAAGACTTTATTAGCCCCAGATTCTTATTCTTAGTGTAGAGCCCCTATCACAAATTAAGTTTTGCCATACCAAATGCAAAGAGACACAGCTCCTGCTCTTAGTTGACTGTCATTCAATGACTAATGAATCTCTCATGCTGGCGATTCTTTCTGCAGCTGGGAAACTTACAGCTCTGTATTAGGAAAATATAGCACCATGGGTCATTGCATTACTTTGTGCAGCTGCTTAATTCAATCTACTGGTTTTTAATTTTTGCACATACCTCTCACATCCACTGATAATACAATGGCATTCTTGCCCAGAATTTATGATGGTAAGATTGGCAGAGGGTCCTGGCCTAAGTGTCTCTGGGTAGAGCGATGCTCAGCTAGTACAGAACTGGAGTATTTGTGCAATCTAAGGCACTGCGAAGAGATGGGCTGATGATAGGAGTGATACGAGAACAAGCACATAGGTGCAACAGATTTACAATCTGAAACCTGTACATCTCTTATTTTGCTAAATAAGAGATTTTGGGCCATTCTCAAGCAAAACTGAATGCAGAGTGGTCAGTGACATTCCGGTATGTAAGACAAAGTCTTTCTTGGTATCATTTTGAGAATGAAGGAACAGAATAAACCTAAGAGGGGAAAAAAAAAAACCGCCCCATTTTTACAGGTAAACAATTAAAATAGTCCTAATGCCTTGGAACAGTAGTGAAAAATGACTACCCTGGATGGTCCTTTCCCCAGCTTCTGCAGCAGAAAGAACAGGGTTCAAAACCAAAAAAACCCCATCACAATAGCAAATGGTGAGGATGGGGAAGAACGTGAGAACACCCTGTTCACTTTTGATCTGACTGACTGCTACAGGCCCAGTAACATTTTCATAGCTAATCTGTTCTTTTCTCTCAATAATCTGCATCAAAATGTTGCTTATAGTTAGCCCAGTAATAGCTCTAGCCACTGAACACACAGAAACAACAAGGACCGTATAGGAATTCAGCAGTACTGAGGAAAATTCTAATCCTACTAAATTTGGCAGCACAAATCTCTTATGTAAGATGTGATTTAGAGGACAGTCTCATCATCCGGGAACATTACTTTGTTCTTCTCAGTACATTAAACAAAAATGGCAACTTTCCATTACAGATTTTCTTTTGCTTTTCACTGCATAATGTCTCAGGAAAGGCATCCCATGCTAACAAGACATTTTTAGTATCAACGAAAATGCTTTTATATGACAATTCAATTATACTGAAGGTATATAAAATTTTAAAAGCTAAGTTTAAGTGCTTCTTTGCCACGATTGCCTTGAACTGTGGTGCATCTCAGAGGTGCAGGAGAGGGCTTGTGATCTAAATTTAAAGCAATGGGTCTCCAAAACAATGCTTGGAAAATGGGCTTTTCTGAAAGTTGACTACCAGCAAATTTACAGATCTCAGGAACTGAAGGTCTCATCATGCTAAGAAGGTTCGAGAGCTACACTTCGACAGAAGATCCTAGGCATGTACAAACCACTCAACAAAGCACTGTTTGTAACGACTATTAAAAAACAAAACAAAACCTATCCTCCTTTTCCAAGAAAAATACATTTTCACATGCAAAAGCAGCTGCCCAGTAATAGGATACAGGTGCATAACAACTCTATTCACAAAATAATTATGAACAAAGGACCATACTATTTAAAACCCTGTTGTTCTTAAATCAGTAACAAAATGAGGTAAAGAGTTCGTTCAGTGCCAATATTTACAGAGTGCAATAAATGTTCAATTCATACCACGTATGCAAGATTTACAAACAGTAATGCTTTTGAAATATAGATACTGGCAAGTTTTAGGAAGACAAGAAAAGAAGTTTTATTCACAGAATAGCAAAAAAATCAGTTTTATAGAACACACCCATAAAGCGTGAAGAGTTCAGAGAGTATCAGACAATCTGCCATCTGAAATTGCTACACATTCTGGCAACAAGCACTTGCTGCAAAACTTGAAGCTAATTACAGACATTTTCTTTTCATCCATACAAACGGTGTACCATAAAGATGTACACTAATACTAGAATTCTTTGATGTGTTTGGAAACAAGTGGCCACCACCATGTGGAAATAACTTTGCTGGATGCCAGCTATCACCAGCTAGTTAATCCACATACTTCCATTCAATTGTTAAGGTAGGTGAGCTTTTAAAATGAAAAGCAGCAGCATTCATCTCTTCTTTTGGGGGACCCAGCTCATTTCGCTATCCTGACAAAGCTTCTTAGTAGATAAAATGCTGAAAAGAATTGCCATTTTGGTAACTGTGGGATGTCAACACATTTGGAAAAGGAAACTGGTGACAAATGCTCAATAATGGATAGTTAAAGGTGACAGGAAACGTCAGACAACTCCTTTAGAGGGCTACTTACAGCAAAGATAACTATATTCCCAGTATTCTTTATTTTCTCCCACTAAGACATAGAAAGAACAGCGATTTTTCAGTCTTCCTTGGTCCTGCAATTGTCTCACTAATAGATGTGAGAACAAAAGGAAACGTAAAACAGAGTGTCTATTCATAGGGAAATTCCCATTGATAGTTTTTCTGTTACAGTTGAAAGTTGCAGAAGTGTAAGAGATTGCCAAGAGGAGATTGCTTGGAGGAGTAAACACTTAAATAGGCCTAGTTAAACCCCCGCCATGAATTAAAAGTACCATTCTTTTCCCTTGAAATGCATGCATAGTGAACATATTACTTTCCACATCAGAAATTGCTTTCTTATGTAGAAGGTAACCAAAGGACAAAAGAACTGCAGAGCTACACTCAGCCTCTCACGTTCAGAGAGGCTCACTTCAAGTCTTATATCAAACCAACGCTGAAGAGAAGGCAGCCTGTTTTGATCTTTCAAATTTGACATGTATATAAGCAATTACATCATAGAATTCAAGAGCCAGTTTCAAACCAAGTATTTAAAAGCCAGACTACCTTAGGAAATGACGAGACTGAGACTTGCCATTAGAAATAGATGCTCATTATTTTATTGCCTTGGGCCACCAGATGCCATATGTAAAGCCTCCTTAGAGGCTGACAGGGGGATAGCTGATCAGTCTTACTGCCAAAGTAAGAACTGGCACAGTAACACATTAGATTTCAGTAGTTCAACAATTGGTGATTAACCAACCCTACTGTAGGCAGAAAATTCAACAGGACAATTGCATTAAAATCTGAAGAGCAATACTTAGAAGGGAGGATGTAATAGTTCGGGGTGAGAGTAATTATAAATACCTATAAGCATAGAACTAAATGAAGATACTATTTTAATGAGGTGATACAAGCTCATATTTTATACATCTATAAAATATTACTATCAGACAAGCAGAAGACTCAAGATACTGCAAAAGAATAACAGTGTTAATCTCCAGGACCTGTGTTACGATGGTAACATAGTTTCAACCTATCCACTAGGATCCTCTCATGCACTTTGAACTGTATCAGCTGCTGCAAACCATTACCTTTAAATATCAGTTAACATTAGTGCTAAAAGAACAAAAATCAAATATTATGCACATTTCTAGGCAAACAATCAGGCTATCTTTACCTCTCATCGCATTCCAGGTAAATGTATTATCTTCCAGAAAGTAATATTCACAAATGATTTTAGAGAAAAGTTAACTGTACAAAGACACAGAAGTCAAAGTTCATTAAAAAACCTAGTCAATACAATTAGACAGAAGTTTGCTTGTAATTCTTCGTATCCAAGACCTTCTTGCCACACATTGAGCAGATGCCTATAAGCACATAAAAGGTGTGTAAATTATTTTAAAATAATTACATTTTTTCTTCAAAACCACAGTTGCTATGTTTTTGTAAAGATAATTCTCAAAAAAAATTGTTTAAATGACCTCTCACAGACAATCTATCTGTGCATTTTCTCACCAGGTATTGCAAATTCAGAAGTAACAATATGACTTCTAATACAAATTAGTATTTGCAGCATATGTGTAATGCTACCACCTTAAAAAAAAAAAAAAAGGCTCTATTTTGAGAGCATTATGATTCACAACACTACTGAAAGCCTCTGTCATTTGCTGGAATACTGGAAGAGAGCCAGGAACTGCTCCCACCTGGCAAACAGGTAAAAATGGTGTATTATTAAACTTTGTAAGTCTTGTAGCCGAACCAAGGCCCAAGACAGACAGCTAGGCTAAGAAAATTTAGTCACCAACGAAATGACTGCTAAATGGAAGATTAACAGGAGGGGAGCTTCAGACAATCGAGAAAGTTGAGAAAAATATGGTTTCATAGAATTTAGCTATTCATAGAGCAGTAGACCTGAGAAACAATGGACACCAAGAATACTAGAGAATTGAAGCGAAGATGACCACTGACATCTCAGAGGACTTTGACCTAAGCTGAAATACTGTCAAGTCAGAAGACTAGAGCATCAAAAAGTACACAAGTTGGGCCGGGGCAGAGGGATGGGTTGTCTCCATATTTCCTTCTTCTTCTAAAGCAGAAAAGTGCAAAATCTTTTGTCTGGTAGGGCCACATCTCATTCTACAAGACCATCGTCAGCAGACAAAAAAAAATGTCAAGTGGCAACTATTCCTGTTAACTCTCTTCAAATCATGTGCTTTCATATATTGACATCATGTGACTGGAACTGTATCTATGAGTCTATTAGGAAAGAGCACAGCATGGAAAATTTCACGTGATTTACTTTAGAGAGCAAAATCCAGCCCACTTCAGGTCTAAATTGAGGAGTAACTAACTTTAGATTGCCTTTCAATTTCAGAGATATGCAGCAGTTGAAGAACTAAGCTATGTGACTGGATTTGATGCAAGAAACATGTCACAACCACATCTTTGATGGCCAGAACTAGAACTTAAAGCACTTAAGAGTTCTGAATTTTATGAAGAAAGCAGATTCAACCTGAAAGGATACACAAGCAGACAAACACAAAATCCTGAAGCCCACCCAAATTAGCCATAAGTTTAAGAAAGAGAACAAGGTTCTACCATATGAGATACCAGCAGCCATCTGGTGAGCATCTAGCAATCAGAAAAGGCAACCCTCCTACAGCAGGCTGCTAAATCACTCAGTGACACAGCACACATTTATAGAGCAATTAAAGTAACTTCATAAAAAAACCTTACTACTTGTTAGCTCGAACTCTACATCTAACAACTGGCTGACCCCATGTCTGTGTGCTATGTGGAATCCTCGGTATTTATCACGTAACTGAGTTCATGTTGGGTTTTTTTTCTGTTCCAGGAATTCCTAAGTTTGAGCCCTTTTGCTTAACCACTCAAAATCACAAGATTAGTAAAAGTTTTATATCCTTAAGGCTCTCCATCAAATTTCCTTGAAACTGATTTATTTTCCCTCAGGAGTTTTTGAACAGTTTTTAACAGTACTGAAGATTTATTAGGAATACGGGAGATAGAAAGCTTCCAGGTATAAGCAGAATTTCAGTGCAGTCATTCACACATAATTCATAAGCACAGAAATATTTTATATATTATGTACTGCACAGGGCAATATCTTGGTTTCTAGGAATGATGATTATATTCTTCTTTTTCATTTTTTAGTTTCACCTTAAGCTGAGTTTGACTTTCAATGCATCAAGCATGTTCACAACTGGACCAGAGACGCCTATTAGAGAAATTAACCTTCCAATAGCCTATGTTAAGCCACTGAATGCATAAGAATACATGCAGGCACAAAGACAACCATGAGCATGATTTGCCTTAAGAAACACTTTCTTAATTGCTTTTACAACTCAATTTATTTTTTTTTCTCTTTGCCTTTTATTCCCCAGGTATCCTACTTTTGTTAAGCTAGCATATCATTTTACCAAGATCAGAAGTTGGATTTTTTGTGGGGTGGATGAGCTTGGGGTGTTTGGTTTTTGGTTTGGAGGGTTTTTTTTTATTGTTTTGGGCAGTTTTTGAGACCACTATTCAGAGTTTTAGATTTAGCTATTATAAAAAAGGGAGAGGGGAGAAGGGAGAGAAAAGGGACTACAACAAGCAATTGAGTTTTACAAAATGCCATTTTTTTTTAAACCAAGAAAAATCAAACTTGCTAGATGACAATTTTCTATGCAATTGCCAAGATTAAGCTTACAGTTATTCTGCCAGTTCTACTGCTCCAGATGCCAGAAACATTCTAAAAGAAGCAGAACCATAGAATGATTTCAGTTGGAATGGCTCTCCAGCAGTCTCTAGGCCTGCTTCTGCCCCACTAAAAACACAGCCAACTTGGATGAGGCTGGCTCAGGGCTCATCAAGTCAAGCTCTGAATACCTCCTGTAGAGATTCCACAACCTCTGTAGGTTCCTTTTATTACAATGTTTGACCACCCTCATGGTGAAAATTGCCTTTCTTGTACGTAGTTAGAATTTTCCACATCCTAACCTGTGTACATAGTCTCTTATTCTATTACTGTGCACCTCAGGAAGGTGTAGAGAAGATGGGAGTCAGACTCTTCTATTAGTTAAAGATAGCCATTAAATCTCATCTTAGCCTTCTCTTTGAAAGGCAAAACAAATTTGAGAGTTCCCCTTGCTCTCTAATTTCAAATCAAACTGGGGTAATTGGGTACTCAGTGAAACTCACCTTTTTTATACGCACATCCTTGACAATAGTGAGACCCTGGCTGATGGACAGAACTCTTACAAATCCGACATATTGCAAATTTGTTCTTTCCATAAGGATCAAACCTGGGGAAAAGGAAAAGTATTTTATTTATATGCCTTGAAATAAAGTATTTCCTCTGCCTCATGCTAAAAAGTCTAAGCCAGGGGATGCAGACAGAAACTCCAACAAAAACTGTAATTTAGAAAAAGGACATACAAAGATTATTTGTAATAGGCTACTACCAACACAAACTTAACAAAAGCAGAACTAAAAATGTGTCTTTTTATTAAGATACTAGACTGTTTTAAACTTAAACGCCTTCCAGCAGTGCCTTGCTGCCTTGCATAACAGAATGTCCCCTGTCCACTACGGAAACGCTCAAGAGATGCGTGCGGTAGATTGAGAACTGGCTGACAGATAGAGCTCAGAGAGTTGTGGTTAGTGGTGCAGAATCTAGTTGGAGATCAGTAACGAGTGGTGTCCCTCAGGGGTCAGTACTGGGTCCAGTCCTGTTCAATATATTCATCAATGATCTGGATGAAGGGATAGAGTGTACCATCAGCAAGTTCGCTGATGACACAAAACTGGGAGGAGTGGCTGACACGCCAGAAGGCTGTGCCGCCATACAGCGTGACCTGGACAGGCTGGAGAGTTGGGCAGAGAGAAACCTTATGAAATTCAACAAGGGCAAGTGTAGGGTACTGCACCTGGGGAGGAATAACCCCATGCATCAGTACAGGTTGGGGGCTGACCTCCTGGAGAGCAGCTCTGTGGAAAGGGACCTGGTGGACAACAGGATGACCATGAGCCGGCAATGTGCCCTGGTGGCCAAGAAGGCGAATGGCATCCTGGGTTGCATCAAGAAGAGTGCAGCCAGCAGGTCGAGGGAGGTCGTCCTCCCCCTCTACTCTGCCCTGGTGAGGCCAAATCTGGAGTATTGTGTCCAGTTCTGGGCTCCCCAGTTCAAGAAGGACAGGGAACTGCTGGAGAGGGTCCAGCAAAGGGCAACGAAGATGATTAGGGGATTGGAACATCTCTCATATGAGGAAAGGCTTAGGGACTTGGGTCTCTTTAGTCTAGAGAAAAGAAGATTTATTAATGCTTACAAATACTTAAAGGGAGGGTGCCAGGGGGATGGGAACAGTCTTTTTTCAGTGGTGCCCAGTGATAGGACAAGAGGTAACGGGCACAAACTTGAACATAGGAAGTTCCATCTTAACATGAGGAGGAACTGGAACAGGCTGCCCAGCGAAGTGGTGGAGTCTCCCACTCTGAAGACAGTCAAAACCCACCTGGACGCCGTGCTGTGCAACCTGCTGTAAGTGACCCTGCTCTGGCGGGGGATTGGACTAGATGATCTCCAGTGGTCCCTTCCAACCCTGACCATTCTGTGATTCTGTAAGATCGTACTGGCCCTTTTAGCATGGGAAATGAGCCTTCCCAGCTCCTCTCCTAACAAAAGCATCAAACCCTAGCAATTTCTGTAAGAATTGCAGTAAAATAGATGCCCAGACTGTACAATTCAGCAGAAAGCACTGATGAAATACGTATGGACTTACCTTTACCAACTAACCAAACGTCGTAATCCCCACAAAATTATTTAAAAAAAAATAAAAATATATGTTTTGGACAAGTTTTGAGGAGTTTCCCAGATATGCAGAAAACAGGCCTCAGTTACAGCAAACTGACTTTTTTTTTAGCTGAAATCAGTATTAAATACTAACCTGGCCTTCTTTGAGGTCAATGCCTTGTTTTCATTTAACTTGCGGCCACCACTTTCTACAAAAAGAATAAAACCATAAACCAATAAATTTCCCTGTTCTAGGCCTACTTTAAAAAGCTCAGTTTACAGCTTTTACACACGTGCAAATAAACTCACCATGACAGATAAAACATATAGAACAGCATTAAAGCACAGGACAACAGAATACTTTATACTGTGTTCTGTTTGTGTATCGTCATTCCATACAAGGCAAAAAACCCCAGACAAGTTCAATACTGAAGAGCTCAGGGTAAATAAATTCCTAATGCAAATTAACCCGATTAACTCCCTCAAATTTTACCCTTAAGATTGTAAGACAACTCAGATGCCGAACTGGCTTTAAGATACCTGAAAAACAGGTGTTAAACCTCCCCAAGATTACCTGTAGTGTTTCTTGCACCATCTTTCCACGTATCCGGAGTGATCACCGTACCGAGTTTCTTCTCACCTATACAAGGAAACATTACCAAGGAAAAAAAAAATTAAAACTATACTCCATTAATACCCGCGAGAAGCGCTGCCTGCGGGGGAATGACAGCTCACACAGAGACATTCCCGGAACCACCACCCACAGCCCGCCCTATAACAGCCCGGGACCCGGCGAGGGGTTCAGCTTAGAGGAGGCCCGGGACCCCCGAGGGCAGGGCCCGGAGGCTGGGGCAGGACTAACACCACCTCCACCCCACCCACACC